AAATATTTCGCTAGTTTTAGATCGGTGTATTTAAAATGGTGTGTCCTATAAACTACAGACGCCCGATGTAGCTCCTGCCAATGCTTTTGCAACAGGTCTCCAAAAATGTGTTCAGTATGACGAAGTGTAAAACCCTAGGCCAGACCTTGGCATCTTACGGCCCACGGGCCACATCCGACCCTTTCGACAATCCGGCATGTGAGTGTGTGGTCAGTCAGAACTTGATTTTTGGCGAGATTATTCTCACACTTGCCCTACACTACAATTTCCTACAATATAGACACTTACGTCATAACTAAGCTTTAACTTAATGACAACTAGTAGCAGGTAAAATATAGTATGTATATCTTTTTACATAAGAATAAATGAATATTGCGCATAGTAAAGTTACCGTACGTTCGGCCCTTCACCACAGTTCAGGTTTCTCATAAGGCCCCCTGTAAAAATTAATTGCCCATCCCTGCCCGAGGCTGTTTATAGCAAGCAAAAAAACTTTTAATAGTTTCAAACTCATTGGGTATCAGCTCCCATTCTTTTCCAGCTTAGGAAATTTATTTTCATTGACATTTTCTTAAACATCTATTCTGCCTCATTCTGCGTTTAGTTTTCATTACACGGGAGCAAGCATAAACCAGATTATTTTTGTCTTTGCTGTACTTCTTCAAGCATTTTCATCAATATATGAATTGAAAATGTTCCATAGTTTAGTTTCAACTGAAAAACACGTTGTGGAACTCCGTTGAAAATAAGTCCTCTCTGTTTACAGACGTAAATAATCTTTCAATTCGGAATTTACATTCATATCCTTCAATTTCCTCACAAGTCGATAATCGTTATTAATCTCATTGTGTCCTTCATCAACTTTACATTCTTTATGCACTTTTGAATGATTCTAGAGGGAAATAAACTGACTTCTGACGTCCTTTGTCGTTTATCCCATTGTTCTTAGTTAATAAATCCATTCAAATTTCATCCCACTTCACTTACACTTACTCCAATTTTCTCCAATTTTTATGATGTGGTCAAATCATTCCTATATTAGCTAAGACGTCTTTTTCTACATATGTACGAAAATTCTTCTCAACAGCTTTGTGCCATGATCTTAATAATAATGTTATCAAAGAACTGCCTTCCTTTGATTGTGACGTGTTTCTTTAAAAACGGTTTTGAGCAAGTTTTGTGTCACTCCATAAGGTGGCTTTAATTCTTGGGTTTTGTGATTGTTATAACTGAAATATACTGAAATTCAGGCAATCGACCTCGCGTACAGAGAATTTATCTGTAATACTTTCAAGATAACTTTAGAATAATGATTTACATGCTTTTATTATGCGAGAAAGGAGCTTTGGTATTTTGTTAAGAACTTCAAAAACAAATTGAAATGCGAACAGATCATAAGAACTCTTTTATCAAATAACTCAGAGGAAATAGGCACTAGTTTGGTTTCAATGTATCTAATAACGAAATACTAACATAGTACTGAATTCTCTTAGTAACTCTGTAGAGAAACTTCCTTTTCTGCCAGCATAGGACAAGACTATGAATGTCACAATGTTGCTTCTCTTTTAGGCGGTCGCAATGTAACAATTTCCCTACAATCAAGATCTGGCCAGAACCACATGCCTTCAATAGTTGGTATTTTCATCTTCACCCAATTCTGGTACTGGTTCCCTCTTTCTCATTTCTTGTCACTTGCCTTCACACCGACAGCAGTTATTGGTTTAAATGCTGATCTAAAGGTAAGCTGTTCTACTTATACAACCCTGTTCTTCAGTGTTCTTTTGCAGTTGTAGTACATTTAATATGTAAAGGAAAATTAGCGCCTGCCACTATGCTTCAGTGTAGAAGCTGGTATTTGTCCTATGGTATTTGCAGTCGCAGATGAACGATTCTAACAGGCTGATGGTTCATTTTGTTGAAACTGTGACATTACATACCCTCTACATTTGTCAAATACCGACTACATTTGACGAGATAAATCCTCTTTATTACAAGAAAAATCGATGAAGGTTGGGTGAGGAATTTTTCTCAACAGGATATTAAGGGTAAAGCTTTCCAGTTACCTGATCACAACCAAAAGTTTCAATCCATTGCGAAACCACCACGCTGGGTTTATAGTTTACTTTGGTAAATTGCTCTAATGTGATTTCCAGGTAAATTTCAATAAAAGGATGTTAAATAAAAATGTCTGGCTAAGTACTAAGAAAGTTAACAGTATAATATCATTTTATAAAAGGTTAGACCAAACAAAACGCAAAAGGCTTACAAGGCCTCATTTGTCTGTTGTTTTATTTGCCGTTTATGAGGCACAATTAATTTGCAGTTTATGAATTTGAATGAAACTGTACCAAATTATCAAAGGAACCATGTGGTTTATGAATAGATTAAGATGTGAGCAAAAAAAGTTTTCATGATATGGGCCGAAAGAAATGATCATGATATCTAAACTGAAATTATTATACCCTGAAAGTTTTTATCCATCTAACTTCTGTGATTGTGCTAGCAACTACAAAAGTCAATGTTCGTAGTTTTTTTTCAGTTTCCTTTTCGTTTCGGTAGCTTTTTCTTTTTAGAGTTTTGGTATAAACTTTTGATGGTATTTTTAAGAGTTTCAGTATAAATTATCTTTTGTTGGTAGACCAGGCATTTTCTGGACTAACATCGCATGTTTCGATACCTTTTCGAACTCTGGTTCTATAACTGTCACTCAAAGGAGTGAAGTCGCCTATACTGCTCAGATTGTCATTGTGCGAGTTACCAGTGGTGTCAAAATTATTATACACAAAGCATGCATCTACTTCATAAAGGGGTTAATATCACATGAGTACTGTCTTAAAATCACATTATACCATAATGCGTTATTTAAGGATCGCCTGTTCTCATTCTGTCATATAGTGCGAAACAATTATGTTGTCTGATTAAAGAATGAAGGTAACCGATCATCATTAGGGACCCTTTTCAGCAGGTTCATATGCTCTAAATGAACACTCACGATCCAAGAATAATTTTTGCAGTATTTTTTGGGAGTTATATTTCTAATTTATTAAACCATTTGAAGTCGCCTTTTGTTATGTATTGAGGAAGATATAAATTGGCTTGCAGGTTTTTAAATGAAAAGAGGGTGGATTATTTTAATGTCTTAAGATGACTTCAAAGCATTAAAAAGATAAAAAAATCGTAGGGCACTGGAAAACTCTAACCTTGAACTACTATGATGTTGAGTTCGGTAAATGGGTATTTTGTTAAAAGGCGACTTTCTTCCTGCTAACAAAAGTGCTGTTGTACCAAATGTTTTCTACGTGACGTATAAACCTTGTTTTCAATGAACAGTCCATAATGCGCTTGGAGATACTTTTGAAGTATTTCACACTCAAAGGTACTGGTTTTCTGCCCTGTACTGGTATGTTTTCTTTCGTAACTTAACATTGGCCCAGTGTGTATCTAAATTCTCTTTCTGAAGACGTCCGCCCATGGTTTACATGATGCATTTTTAATGAAAAACTCAGGCAATTTTTGATCTTGCTTTGGAATTATCCACCTATACTCATGCAGGGGATCCATAAACCAGTGCAGATGGTTATGAGTTCTTGAAGATTCCGCTCAAATCATTCTTGACCCAGACAATTGTGACCTGAACGGATTTTAGTACGCTTTATGACGTTGGCAAAGTAAACGAACAAAGGCCGGACAAGGTTTCTTTGGCCATGTTTAAAAATGAGCTAATTGACGGGTATTTGGTTATTCGCTTTTGCAGAATTTGTGAGATTTTGGTTGGCCATTGCATGCAGTTGAAAGGAAGTTTAGTTCGTTCAACCTTGAGAATAACTTCACAAAGAGGTTTATAATTAAGAGAAAAGAATATGTGCGGTTCTTCTCTGCAATCATAGTTAAAATGTTTAGTGAGCTCATTGAAAAAAACAAGTTGTGTTTTTCGCGAGCGATCAACATCATGAAACAGCTCGATAAAATTTGCAGCATAAAGGATGCTAGTAACCAAATCAATTGTCACTCCCGCAACAACAACGCTAAGGATTTGGCAAGACATAAACATAAATATTTGTTATAGAACCTCTTCTTGTCTTATGTCCTTTATTCATGATTATGCAATGGTAAACTGTTGCATTTGAACAGGTTTGACAGCTGTGCTTGCGGAATAGCCTTGTATTTACTGAACATTGAATTTTTGCTTACTAAGTAGATTGTGACTTAGTTTTTACGAATGCTGAAAAGTGTCACTTCCATATTGCGCAATACTAATTTCTTAAGTGTTTCTAGATGGCAAATCATGTGAAATGGGTTTCCAAAATGCATCGATTTTTTTTCAGTATATTGTTTGGCTCTGTCCACTTGTATCAGGTCTGTTTTCTATTGCAATTTGAGCGTGGCCGTCTGTTCTTCGGCTGTCTGCTCTTAGGCTCTCTGTTGTTCGGCTGTCTGCTCTTAGGCTCTCTGTTGTTCGACCGTCTGCTCTTAGGCTCTCTGTTCTTCGGCCATCTGCTCTTAGGCTCTCTGTTCTTCGGCCGTCTGTTCTTACTCTCTCTGTTTTTCTAACCGTCTATTTTGTAAATGTTTATACCCAGCATCCGGAGGTAGTTTTTAGGACACTAAGAAGCTATGCTTATCGAGCAGTGTCCTGGTCCTTCCTCTCGATGTTTACACCCCTCTTGATTCATACGCCTAGTTTAGCAGAGACCTGTGGATCTGTGTTGCTCGTAGGGCTGTATGTTTGTATGGCCGTCTGCTCCTAGGCCGTCTACACTTAGGCCCTTTTTTAGTTTTGTACCGCCAAACAATTGTATGCCTAACTCTATTAGTTAGCGTTAACGAAAGAGATTCAGATTGGTATTTAATGCCTTTTCTTTATCGAATTAAATATTTTCTTTCTAGAGTCTTGATCTAACTTCAAATTTTCTTTACAATATAAAATTTTGAAGCAGTCAGACTTATTTCTTGATCTTTTTATGTCTGAAACTTGTTTTGATGTCCAAGTTATACTTCTGCTGACAATAATTTCATTTGATTATAATTTTTTGCTTGCCCTGACTTCTTCATTCTTACGAAAATGCTTTGGTTGAAAATATCTTTGGTCCTCCAGTATTGCCTTTTGGTTTCTGCAGTTTTATGCTTTTGTATCATCTTTTTGTCTGGCCAGGAGGTCTTCTAGTTTTCAGACTCTGCTTTTAGTAAGTTTTCCACTGTGAAAACTCACTTATTCGAGGGGTAGTTCACTCTTGCAAAAAGTGTACGAGATTTCCACAAAAACAAAAGGATTTCCAGGGATTTTCTCATAAAACAATAGGATTTCCACCAATGGTGTTCGAGATTTTTAAGAAGTGATTTGCCCCTCGCACTAACATCTTCACATGTTTCATTTTCTTGAGAGTTTACTTTAGCCAACAAGTCGATTACTGACCCCTTTGAACCAAAGGAACATTCGAAACACAGTGTTGGAGTGTTAATAATAATTCCCAATAAACTTTATGCTCATGAACTTTACCTGCATAATAGTCCACACTTTTATTTACAGTAAAAATATCTTCTAAAGGAGAGTAGGAGCGGGGATATTCGCTTTGATGTTGGCAGAAATATTTACTGGTTGCTCCACGTGAACACACAAATATAATCTTGACCGAAACTTTCTTCTTGTACGTATGAGTACGTATGAGAGCGAAACTTTCTTTAGTTAAATAATTAGCTATTTAGAAGCTCTGCTGTAACCCAGAAACACTTGTCACCTGAATGATTACTATTCTATTGTGACTGGGTTTCGCTTGTGTCTGCAAAGGCTTGCTGAACTATCAGAAGTAAACAACGAAGTCGAGAAGAAATGAACGCAATACCAATGCAATACAGAGACCCCTGATTAGTGCACAACTCCAGAGCACACGCTCATGTATGTTTGCCCAGTTGCAATTTAGCGTTTGTTTTTTACTTGACCACTCTCTAATCGGTTTTCCATGTCAAAGCTCAGGTCAATTAAGATAAAAATATCATTTTTCATGTTTTGACGATTATTTGTGATAGAACCACGAATCTCGTGCTCTTAATGGATTAATTCGGATAATCCAGTTAAGGGCAACAATTCCAATTGTTACTTTCTTACCTATTTTTCAATATTTCATCTAAATTGTATTCTATGATGATAATCGAAATCTGCCTATTGCGGTAAGTCGTTTCTATCAGTAACGCAACTTTATTCTCCAAACGAATTCTGAATCAGATGGTTTCTCAGGTGCCCCCTTTTGTGACGAATTCCAACAGATACTTTGCATTCTTACTGAGTACTGTTAGAGGGGGAGTTTGTATGTATAAAACCAACGCCTGATAGTCCATTGTTTCAAAGATAAGCATGTTTTCTTTCAACTATCGATAGTAGGCCTAAAAGCAACGGTGAAGAAAATCTGTGTTTGAATCTGGGAGATTCGAATTGATGGACTTAAACTGTATTACAATCATAGAAAGCAACATTCTGTATGAGCAATCACTATACTTTGTTCCTCACTTTTCGGTATGATTTCGAAAATGTTTGATCACACGTTGGAAATCATGATATAAAATCAATTTTATGATTCTTTTTCACACGAAACACTTGGCTTCGAATTCGCAGCAAGCTGTGTTTGGATAAATAAAAGAGTACACCAGAAATTGAAAATATTTACTTGCTTAGTAGATACAAATAATACGTCAGAATTAGGTTCTGTAAGCCTTTTTCGTGTAAAAGAAGAAAATTGTTTACTTT